ATTCTTCGTTTGAATTCTTAGATCACCACAAAAAGGTATGATAGATGACAGGTAAGTAATAATAATAGGCAATACTATGTTTTAGACTATCAGATGGTGATAAATATAAAGAACAAAGTGAAAGCAAGGTGGAAGGGGTGGAGAAGCCTGCTATTCTAGAAAGGGTTGCTGGCCAAGGCCTTTCCCAGGAAGTCACACCTGTCCTGGATGCTAAAGGCCAAGTGGGTTGGGCGATGCCTGTGGAAAACTCCTTTAGGCAAAGGATGGGCAGGGTTAATGCCCTGAGGTTGGGACTCGCTTTGACCTTTCTAGAAAAGGAAGGAATCCAGGGTATTGGAGGAGAGTGAGCAAGGGGTTACTTAGAGGATATGAGGTGGAAAACATTTAGGGAGCTGGACCACAGAAGGAACTCCTTAGCCTTGGGGAGAATCTGAGGCCATTAGAGCGTTTCTAGCTAGAAAGTAACACAACCCCATCCCTTTGTGAGGAATTAGGTAGTGAGCCAGGAGGAGAGGCAGTGGACAGACCTGCAAGTTAGGAAGCTGCTGCAGAAATCAGAAAAAGGAAGTAATATTAATCAGTGAAGTGCCCTGTGTTCTGCTCTCTCAAAATCTAAAAAATACCACAAAAGTGAAGGCTGTGTTATGTGTGTGTCCATGTGTGAGATTTAAAGTTTTCCTTTTTGGTAAGAAAAAATCTCATATTATTTTTGAATTAATAGGGCACAATGTTTAGTTTTCTAATAGTAATATATTTTCTGTTTCTTATGAGCTATAGACTGTTTATGCCTTATTTGCTGGATAGGTTTTCATCATCAAATTAAAAGAGAGCTTTAGCTATTTACATTATTTTTACTCATTTATATTACCTATTATCCATCGGTGTAGTGTGGAAATCAGTGTAGAAATATTTTCCTGCTTTGTTGGCTGAGTTTGTTTGGAGAATGATTTACTTTGCTATAAATTTTCAACTGAAGCCAAATCTCTGACCACTGTGGCTTCATTTTCTCCAGGCAAAGACTCCTTTAGAAAAGCTTTCTTTGATTTCCAGGTGCTGGAACTCTTTTAAGTTCAGTCTCCAAGGCCACTACCCACAGTGTTCTCTCTGGTTATCTATAATCTAAGAATAATTTACTGTGAGCCAGGGCCAGACTTCCCCAACTCCCTACCAGCAGCATGGGAAGAGAATGGAAAAAGAGGAGACTAAAGAGGGGACATACAGGAAGAAACTTTGGACACTACAGATTTAAAAAAAAAGAAAAGAAAAAGAAAATAAAGGAATTCACAATCAGAAAAAAAGATCGTTTACACTTGAATTCCTGAATGAGGAGAATGGAGGTACAGCAACAGCCCTCAGACCTACTCTAAGTTGATAAATTTAAGTGATAAATTCAAGTGCTAATGTGATTTTTATAATTTAGTTCTATTGGCCTTACAGGAAACATTTCACTATAAGATTGATGACAGTGTTACACTAAGCTCTTTCATTTTTGCAAAGATGTGGTGGTTGTCTTGTACATTTCTGTCTTGCCTTTCAAATGTAAGGCCCAGGAAAGATGGAGTCATCTTGGGTTTATTTACATCACTTTACCCAGCACTTAGAACCACCTCTGAGAGGCAAGAAATGTTTGCATACTTTTCAGACAAGTAAATGAACAGCTCCATAAAATGTTAGTGTAGAATGGAGGCGACTGAGTCACAAGCTTTAGTGAAATCAGTTCCCGGTCTTGTTTTGTCCAACACAGCCATGCTGTTTGGCTCAGCATCATTATTAGTACTGCTGTAGGGACTCCTGGGATTGGTGGTGAGATTTGTGCCTTTATTTCATGGTTCTACACCACTTTGCTCTTATAGGTCTTCTTTGTGTTTGCCTGGAGTTCTCAGACCTCTTCTGGACATTTGGTGTCATTTTCTTTTCTCAAATTAACCTTTTCTATGGTAATTTTGGAGGATGATGGTGTTTGCTCTCTAAACTCTTGTTTATTGGGTGGGAGTCCTTGGGGTAAGGATTAAAGGATCATGATAGGTTTTCTTCTGATAAATACAACTGTAAATTTCACCAGCACCAGTAAGTCACCATTTTACCACATTGTCATATAATCAATGCCACTTGTTTATTGGGATAACTGAGAATTCTTTAGATTTAAATACAAAGTGAAATGTGGCATGTTATCCCAGAACCAACTTTCAGTTACCTGTGTTAGTGGTGGGCAGAGTACGACAGCATGCCCTCAGTCCTTCTCGTTTGTATAGTGTCTCTTTGTAGTCACTGTCATTGCTTTCTATGGTAATTTATGATTTTTTGTGTCTGTTAAATGACTGTGTTTTACATATGCAATAAGTAGACCTAAATGATTATTGTCAAACAAGAAATGCCTGGTGCTTCCAAGATGGCCCTGGAGAGCAGAACTATTGCTAAGCTGTAGAGCCAGAGGACACACAGCGAGAAACACAGGTCATGGGAAAGTGATTTGCTTGGTGAAATAGGTGCTTAGGCTATATACCTCCATTTGAAGAGAATAACTTGAGAGCAAAAGACTCCCCTCTGTATCTTCTTTAGGCATCCAAGGAAAGGGAAGTTTAGCATATTAGTAACTTTCCTGTCACTGAGACAAAATACACAATATCTGCAATTTAGAGGAGGTTTCTAAAGATAATGCAGTAGTATATGTTTACCGTGTGTAATGATCACATTCATCATAGGGAATTTGTACCTGCACATGATACACCTTAAATTTTTTTGCCCATCCCCTCTCCACCCTTCAACCTGTCTTCCCGCCCCATTCACAAAAGCTTTGTATCCATTTTCCCCTTCATCTTTTTAAAGTACTTTTTCCCGTCCTTTCCTTTTCCCTCCTCCTCCCTTATTCCCTTTCCCATTTAAATAAATTCTTCCTTCTTCCCAATATCTATCCTCCATTTTGCTCCTTATTTATCCTTTGATTTTCTTATTCAAAAGAAACAATGTGATATTTAAATTTGTGTGTCTGATTTATTTCACTTAAAATAATGGTCTGAAGACGCATCCTTTTACCTAAAAATATGTCAGGTTTATCCTTCTTTGTGGCAGAGTACTATTTTATTATATATAAATACCACATTTTCTTTATCTGTTTGTATATTAAAGGGCATATGGGTTGTTTCCAAGATTTACCTATCACAAATTGTGCTGCTATAAACATGGGTGAGAATATATTACTGGTATGATGCTTTTAACTTTTCTGGGAAGATCCACATAGAAGGGGAAAGCCTGAGTCAAATAGAACTCCACTTTTAGGTTTTTGAGGAATCTCCATAGTGATTTCCATAGTGTTATAGCAATTTACACTCCCGCCAAAAATGGGGAAGTGTTCCTTTCCCCTCACAGCCTCACCAGCATTAGTTATTAATTTCTTGATGATAGCCATTCTTTCTTGTGTAAGATAGAATCTCCATGTTGTTTTAATTTGCATTTGTTGAATGATCAGGACATTTTTTCATATATTTATTTGTTGTTTTTCTTCTTCACCTGAAAAGTGTCTATTAATTTCAGATGCCAGCTTTTGGGATTGGGTCTTTAAATTTAAGGAATCCAATTTTTGTTGTTACTTTTATATCCTAGATATTAGTCATTTGTCTGATGAGCTGCTGGTAAATTTTTTCCCCATTCGGTGCATTCTCTCTTCATTCTGTTGGTGGTTTCTTTTGCTATGCAAACGGTTTTTAATTTGATCTTCCATGAAACTGTTTCTGTCTTGATATTTAGATCTTTGATGCATTTCAGATTTAGTTTAGTACATTGTGAGGAACATTGGTTTAAACTTTTGCATGTGGAAAGGCAGATTTTCCAGTGCCATTTATTAAGAAGGCTGTCTTTCTTCCAGTGAAAATCTTTCACCTTAAAGGAGAAGAGGCTTATTTGGAGTCATGATTTTAGTGAGTTCAGACCACGGTTGGCTCACTCCAAAGCAAAACCAGCATAGCCATGGTCATCTATGAAGCAGAGAGAGCAGGGGAGGAGTCAGGAACTAGAATACAGCTTCCCAGGTCACACGTCCAGCCCAGGGACCCACTTCCTCCACCTCATCTCCCCACCATCTACTACACATTCAGCTACAGGTCATTAATGGGTTAACCCACTAATGAGGATCGCACCTCCATGATCCAATCACCTTCCAACCCTGGGATACTCTGGGAGGACATCTTGGGTCTAAACCATAATACTTAATAAGGGTAGGAATCAGGTGGTAATGAAAAGAGGAAAATAGGTTCTCTAGAGGAAAGTTATGAGAAAACAGATTAGAAGTAGGAATGTCTTGTGCTCAGAGGATGGGGGAGATGGATTCCTCCAGAAGAGAGACTGAACCCTCGGTGTTTTCAGATTTCTAAGCCAGAGCCTAAATTTCTGTTGAGGTGTTGGAGGACTGGCATAAATGATTATCAAAGAAACAGGTCTCCAAATCTGTAGAACACAAAAGTCTGAATTTATTTTGTGTCTGAGATTGCTCAATTCTATATTACTTTGACCTTTATCCCTTCTCACAGCGTTATTAAATTTGTTTAAATGCAAACATACTGACTTGTAACTGTGTCCACTAATATAATGTCTTCCCAGAATAAAGTACCAGTTTAGCATGTACATTTTGATTATTCTGAGTATTATTTTAGACCAGTTGTTGATATATCATCATCATACCATCCTCATCATCAGTGCTGTAATGAAATAAAATGAAGTGACCTAATTACAATCACTTCTTTTCTCTCTTCCTCTGCAATTTTAGAAAATGGGTCAAAGTTAGTAAGATATTTGTGTTCTTTTCCTACTTTCAGTTTATTAACGAGTTCAACTATGATCAAACTTACTCAATAGAAGAAAAGGGAATGTGGAACAAAGAAAAAAGTCATGGCTATTGCACAATGTGTTAGGTACATCTGTGTCCCACACACCAGAATTACTCACCTTCCAATTCCAGAAAAGACTTATGTTTTTATTCATTTGTAAACATTCTTTTCTTTCTGCAGGTGGAATGGCTGAAAAATGAAGAGCCCATTGATTCTGAACAAGATGAGAACATTGACACCAGGGCTGACCACAACCTAATCATCAGGCAGGCACGGCTCTCTGACTCAGGGAATTACACCTGCATGGCAGCCAACATAGTGGCCAAGAGGAGAAGCCTGTCAGCTACAGTGGTGGTCTATGGTAAGACTAGTCCCAGGGCCATGACTGGATAGGGTGGGGCCAAACTCAGAGAAGCAGAGGGATGTATATTTTAAGACATTCCAGGCATGGAGCTGAAAGGACACAGATGGTCATTGGCTGCAGGGCTCTGTCCTTCCTCCATTTGACAGGCAGGCAAATGTCCCTATTTCTATTAATATGTTTGCTATTCCGTCCAATCTCAGACTCCTGTGTGATAGTCAGTGACATTTCCATTCCCATTCTGTTCTAAAAATAATAAAAGTTTTGTTCATTTTCCCCCATTGTGTTTATATTTGAAAAGCATTAAGGTGGGCAACTTCTGCTTCTGCCCTCTCCCAAACCCAACACCCGCCCCCATCTTCCCACTCCTGCTGTCAGTTCCTCTCCTGGCATAATGAAATCCACCAAAAACAAACACCGTTATTTGCTATCTCAGGTATTGTATAAAAGAAATTCCCAGCTTTTTAAGTAAAGGCATTCCCTTTCACAACAGAAGAGTCCTGGGATTTATTTTTGAAGCACTTAATAGAAATTCAAATGCTGATATTTTCTTCTTATACTGTGGATTTTCAAGTACTTTAGTGATCTGCTGATGAATTCTTCCTCCTCTTCATAATTGTCCTGCAAAGCAAAATCTCTAGGTCTTTTCTTTTGCAGAGAGTAGGTTAAAAGGCAGCTGAAATAAGGCTCCTGCCACCTCACAACAGAGTAGCCAATGAGGCTCCGTATGATCTTCTTGTCCCTGGATGCCCAACTCACAACACCTGGCACAGCGGCTTGCACATAGTAGGCAATCAGTAAAAACCTTTCTCCTTTTTTTCTCCCCTCCCATTTTTGTCTCTCAGTGAATGGAGGCTGGTCTTCCTGGACAGAGTGGTCAGCCTGCAATGTTCGCTGTGGTAGAGGATGGCAGAAACGTTCCCGGACCTGCACCAACCCAGCTCCTCTCAATGGTGGGGCGTTTTGTGAGGGAATGTCAGTGCAGAAAATAACCTGCACTTCTCTTTGTCCTGGTGAGATATACACAGATTCCCCTTTTCCCTTCTGATCTACCAACACTATTAGGCTGGTGTGAAACAATTAATATACCCTTCCTTTCCACAGTCACCTCTGCTCAGGTTTTCGTGTCCCTCTCCAAGGTTCTGATGCCGAACACTATCTTAGGGTATAGTTTTTGGTTTTGGTTTTTTAATATTCAGATGACACTGAATATTCACTATCACTAGTAGTTTTTATACTACCAGTGTTTGGTTGGGCGAAGCAACCCCTTGTGTCCTTCAGTTTGTCTTCTTTATGAAATATATTTGTATAATAAATAGGAACAGGGATTAGGTGAGACATCTTCAAGTACAAAAGAGCACAAAGCAAAACCTTGAGCCTTTGTCAGCTGTAGCTTTTATTTGTTTATAGTACTATTGGCAGAGATTGTACACTGCCACAACAATCTGTATTTTACATTTGGCCTGTGCTTGCCTTTCTTTCTGAACAGATAGAGACTTCATTTTCCAAATATGTTTCATATCAGTTCATTTGTTCATCTCTCCCTGGCTGTAACCCAATTTATACAATGAGAAATAGATGAGTTGGAAGATGGCTCTCTTTATGGAAAGCATATCCTCCCACTGAGAAATAAATTGATCCTGCCTCTCACATGCACTACAGAACATTAACTCCAAGGACACTGGCCTAGAGTCTCATGTCTTTTAAAATTTCAAATTTAGCTCCTCTTAAAGCTAAGGTGAGGCTCTGACCAGCAGCATATTCTTACAGTTTCATTTTGATTCCTATTCAATAAACATTTATTGAGTGCTTACTATGTGCGGGTATTGCTCAGGATATCTTTACACATATAATGTCATTTAATTCTGTGTTGTGAGTTGTCTTACCTTCAGGTAACAGAAATGGTAGTGAGGCCAACTGATTTTGTGACTTCCCAGAGTTGCTCAGCTCATAAGTTGATAGAACCAAGACCAGGACTCAGACGCTTTGCCTTAATTTCACTAATTTTTATATTACCTTATTCTTGGCTAATTGCTTTAAAAATTTGAATATCTTAACCCACATAAGCATGGTAAGGCTATTCCTGTGAGGTAATAGGGCAATTGCCTTGAACATCTGCCCTAATCTCTAGGGTTAATCTTTAATGGAATTAAGTTCAGTTTGTTCATTTCTACATACCGCACCAATCCATGACCCATGAAATTCTATTTATGTACATGCTGGCATCGTGGGGTTTGACTGACCTGTTTTAGTCTAATGCTGTCATTATATTGGCATTTAGCTTTTCATTGTTTAGGGGCTTTTGGGCTTTAAAATAGTTCGTTTTACCCCCTGTTCTAAACTGTCAACCCACAAGGCAGTGGCTGATGACCAGTTGCTACTGGCCAGACTTTGTGCGTCTATTTCAGATGTACTTGAGCCTAGAAGATTAGGAAAGAACAGACGATGACATTATTAGCCAACACAAAGGTATTGGTCATTTAAACGCTTTCCTAAATTCAATAATAGGTCTTGTCCTAAAATAGCAGCAGAATTATACCTTTGCTCTGGTTAGGAAAGAAAGCAGGGAGAGACGACACGGTATTATGAGCTAGTGTAGCTCCTTTTGGTGGTTTCTTTAAAATCCAATGTAAAGTCAGCAGTGGAGCTGGAGTGTGTTTCACACAGCTGCTTGATTCCCTCTCACAGTGGTTTCTGTTGTTTCCCTTTGAAGTGGATGGGAGCTGGGAAGTGTGGAGTGAGTGGTCAGTCTGCAGCCTAGAGTGCGAGCATCTCAGGATCCGAGAGTGCACAGCGCCACCCCCAAGGAATGGGGGCAAGTTCTGTGAAGGCCTCAGCCAGGAATCTGAAAACTGCACAGACGGGCTCTGCATTCTAGGTAACACCCTCTGGGTAGCATCTTTGTGTTCTGTTCGTGATGTTCACATATTTTTATATTTCAAGAAATAATGCCACAGCCATGAATTGGGTTAAACAAGCCACCAAAAAACCAGGAACAAAAAGGAAAAGGGTAAAAGATGTAGAAAAGTACATAAATATGTTTTGGGGAAAAATGAGAGTAATTTGAAATAATGTGTCATACTCTAATCAGATAATGTTTTAGGAGGAATAGATTCAGAAAATATTTAAAACTCTTAGGAGCTACCACTTTATGTTTGGTAAAATTCTGACACTGATCACTATGTGCCTATAGTTTTCCCAATAAGTTCACAATATTATAAAGTGTTTAATACATCTTTGTATTTCAGAACTCTTTGCCAGGGTGTATATATTACACCTGTATTACACACATAGCTCCAGTGTTGGGACAGAGCATGGCCCTGAGGAGGAAGGTAGCTTTGTGTGGCACTGGTCTGTCAGGGTAGGAAATGGAATGTTCATTTCTTAACTTTAAAACCTTTGCTTATTCCTGCGATCACACAATTACTGTTTCCAACCAACTATCTACTTGATTTAGAAAACAAAGTAAGATCAAAGAGAGTCAAAGAGAGACAGATTTTAATTTGGTTCTATCTCTTCTTTTGCTTTGTGAACCTGGCCAAGTCACTTAACATCCCTAACTGTAAATACCAATAGTAATCACCAGTTTGGGTTTTAGTCAAGGCTACATGGTGAAATATGTCTGACTCTTTCATGGCATAAAGTAGGTCCTCAGTAAATAGGTACTTCAGTCATTGATGTGGATAAGCTAAGGTGTGTGGATTTTGCCTGAGTCTCTAAATGCAGGAATCTGAGGATATTCATATGCTGTAGAACTAGGTGGCCTTCATGGAAAACACCTAGGTTATATCCTGCAAAAATACCATAGTTCAGTAGGCTGGGATCTCTTCAGGAATGTGAGTCACTTTTTATTAGAGAAGATAGCAATGTAGGTGAAAGTGCTCTATGGGGTTTATTTTTCTGTGTTCACATGACTGCATACTCTTGAAAGATGCACATGCCAAGTGCTATCTTTTCAGAATAAATTTCTATGGTGAATACATCATTTAAAACAGTTAATACATAGAAACAAACCCTTAACTCATCAGCCACACTGCCTTTGTTTGCTAGTGTAAGTACAGAGAACCCTGCTGTGTTAGACCCCATCCAAAGGGTTGTGATGGAAGTCAACATAGATATCAGTCTCACTGGTGAAAAGTCTGTGTGCTCCAGTAAATACATACCAGCCATTTGCCTTTTCAAAATGACTTCCTCCTTCCTAAATGAAACAGAAGGCAAACTCAATAGCAAGACATTTAAGAAAATGGTTTCTGACAACCCTTGAATACCACTGGATTCTTTCTGAAACATACCTCTGAGATGTGAATGTTTTTTTACATTGTGGCCATGTCTTTAAAGCAATGTATTGAGGACTATGAATTTCGTATGTCATAAAGAACGATGACAAAATAACTATTTGGCTGCAGGTCGAAGTTTAGATAATCATAGTAATAAACATTGCTATCAACCATGCACTGCATTTGTACTTGGGGAAAATCTATGGGTTTCTCACTTCATCTTGAACTGACTAAGACCCTGAAAGTTACTGTCTAAAGAGACGATGGTGAGCTCTAAATGTAAGAAAGTGTGGTTATGAAAATCGTGAATATCATTGATTCTTACTTGTGATATCTAGTCACTCATCAGTACAGCAAAAAATTTGGTTTAGGACTGAAAAGAAGTAATAGCACTGAGAATGTTCTGGCAAGTGTGCATCAAATCTGGGATGACATACTAGTCTGGGTTCCCAAAGAAAGAGAATCAATAGGGTAACAGGGAAAGAGACACTTCAGTAGAGAGATAGAGATACTTATTCTGAGAAATCAACTCATGCAGTTACAAAGCTTGGCAAGTCCAAATCTGCAAAGACAATCTCCTAGTTCAAGTCCAAGGTTGGCAGGCAGTAGAATCAAGAACACCTGATGTCTTAGTTCAGAGATTGTGAGCAGGTTAAGGAGCTATCCCAGTATAGAGACCGTCAGGGGAAGGATTGTCTGTCACTCAGAGGAGGGTCAGCTTACTGGCTTCTCAAGTCTTAGCTGATTGAATGTGATCCTTTCACATTACAGAGGTTGGTCTGCTTTATTCATTTGCCAGTTCAAATGTAACATTCTCAAAGAAATGGCTAGAATGTAACATATGACCAAGTATCTAGGCACTCTGACCCAGGCAAATTGACGCATCCAACTAACTACCAGAGCTTCATATGTACTTGTGAAATGTAAAAGCTTAATCATTTCTTAGAGTTACTCAAGAGGCAAAGTTCAGGCAGTGCTTTTAAGTAATTTGTTGATTTCCTGAAGAAATCCCTCCCATGGAATTTGGTCATGTGTGGTTTTAATTACATATGTGTATTTTCCTGAGTACTCCATATTTTCCTACAGTGCAAATAAAGTAGCTATGAAGACAATGAGGCTTGGAATATGCTCAGCCTTGGATGTAGGATCTTTGTCAAATCCAGCCCATGAGTTGAAAATGCTACATGATCCTTTTTTTTTGTTCAGTTTATTCATTTATTCCCTTTCCTTTTCTACTTAAACATATTTTTTTGCATCATCCTTTGCATAATGTATAAATTAGACTATCTACAAATATGATGTAGGAGTTTAAGAACTACAATGACTAAAATATTTTGAGGGGCAAAAGGTGAAGTGTATGCAATCATAGGACTAAATGAGATATAGTTGCATGTCACTTGGAAAGAGTTGTGTTCTAAGAGCCCAACTGCAGGATGTATTATATCTTTGTAGACAGAAAGAGATTACCAATAGCAACACAAATGAGTAACTTTCCACAGTCTGAACATGAAGTAATGATCATCCAGTTGTGTGTCACCAATATTACTCTGTGTCCCAAACTGTTCTCTGTCATAGAGCTCATGATAGAAATAACTACACTCTCAGGACTGAGCTTCAACAAAAGCTGGCTTTGATTAAAATAGCATTTGGCAACAGCTTTATGGAGCAGTAGCTTTGCCGAAGGATCTAGGTCGTATTACAACTTGGGAATTTCCTTCATCCTAATTTTTCCCTTTATAACAAACATGGCCCTAAAACAATTTCTCCATTCTCACCTTCTGTTGGAGGTTTGACAATGACATTGCTTGACTCTTGAATGACCTACATTGCTTTGATATTTTTTTTTATCCTTCAACAAAGAAGCTGAGATTCCTCTCTTATTCCTGATTGCTGTATTTTTTCTAAACAGGGAGCTGCCAGCTCTGAATGATCACTTTAATATTTGGGTGTGATTGTTGCTTGGTCACTTATGACTGGAGGACACAACCTTAGTGTTATGTTATCACAGGTGGCCACACCTAAATGATCTCAACAAGAAAGTAAATGCCCAATGCCAGTGCGAGTAGAATGAGGCCATTTTTGTCAATAGCAATAAGTTGGTAAATACAAATTACAAGCATAAACACCCAGTGCCGTTAAGGTAGGACATTGCTTTTTCACAGAGGAAAGATAATTATTGAAAACTGTACCCATGACTATAAAGAAACAAATGTAGATCTATATTCTCTTAGCTTGAACATCAAAATCAGGTAGCTTGCAGACCAACATCCTACTTGCTGAGTCTAGCTGCTTCTATGCTCTGCAAATCACAGTCCTAGCTAAATAGGAACAGAAAGATGGAAATGGTGAGGTGTTTATTTGATCTGGAGGGATAGAACTTCTTCCTTTTTCTTTATTCCAGTAAAAGTAAAACTAAGGGGCTTTGGCTTGAAAAGATAAAATGGATCTGCTTCAGAAGGGATTAGTGACTAGATGTGTAAGTTACTGAAGCAAGAGAAATGCCACAGAGGCCTAAAAGAGAGAGGGGAAATCTTCAAAGGTGAGCCACCTGAGAGCTAATCTGTCCTTCTTGTCAGGATACAGCATAGGTCAGGTCAACAATGACAGTTCAGAAAATTAAACATCAATTAAATGATGGTTTGTTTTCATTTCGGATGGCTACATGATAAGAAAAGTTTGGATTAGCACTTCAGAAATCATATCAAGAATAAAAACACCTATACATAGCAGGTTCAAATAAACATTTCCAAGCCCCAGCTGATAATATGACCACCTTGTCCACTGCAGGATCTACTTGAATGACCTAGGAAGCCCCTGCAAAGATGAACCTGTAATTACATGAAAATAATGGTTGCTTCATTAAGCACTTTCACTTGAACTCTTCTAAACCTCATTGTTACCTATTACAGAAATTACCTGAGTCCCTTCCTTGTATTATCTAGGGTACTATATGAGGGAAATTTTATACTGGAGATAGTTTAGTGCATCTGAAGTAACTCTTCTACTTTGTTTAGCTAATGGTTTGCACAAAGGATTATGATAAATGAGTGTCTTTTACCAAAAGAAAATTCATCAATTCCTCTCTTTGTGAGGAAATTTCAGAATCATATTTGGCTTATAGTTCAACTTGTTATTGAATAAATTCATATATCAGAACCACTTGTATAAGCTACATAGTAAAGAAATGAAATGACATCCGTGAGATGACATCACAGCAAGGTCTCTTTCTGTACTATCAAGAAGCATCCTATTGCTTGCTAATTCTCCCAGACTGTTTTATTATTAAAAACCCATTTCCACCCATCCCTAGTACATAGTAGGTGCTCCTTTCAATGTAAAGTTTTTCCTTAGAAATACACAATAGCTTGCCTTTCTGCATAACAAAAAATTGATTAATTCAGTGCTGCCATAGTTCCTCCTGCATAGCAAATGTGGATATAAGATTGCAGACCCACAGGAGTAATAAGAGTGTAGATTTGGGCACATATGGAGCAGTTAGCAGCTTGGCAACAATCTCTCCCCCATGTCCCAATAAACACTCTCCCATTATGGGGCTTCATAAGAAGACTACTGAGTAACAAGCTTTAATGACATAGAGTGG